GGGGGGGGTCGGCAGCACCTGAAGAAAGGGGGAGGGTAACTACAATAACAATATAAAGATCGATCGTTGTGAGTTTGTATGTGCGTATGTGCATATGTACGTATGTGTGTATGTGTGTGTGTGTGTGTGTGTGGTGCGTGCGTGCGTGCGTGGATGTGTGTGCCCGAGTATGTAACACTATGTACCTTTAAAATTGATTTGTAAATCCATAATAATGTATCATGTTAAGCGCATAGAGCATTGCATAAGTGGATATGCGCTATATAAATGCAATCCATTATTATTATTATTATTTAAGAAAGACAGACGAGGACAAAGAGACGAGGAGACATTTTCAAAGAGGAGGTAGGGTAAGATGGAGGAAGAAGTCAGAGACATCAGCTGTGACAGGAGCAATAATATTGAAATATCCAATTAGGGCTTACGACAGAGGAAACAGGGAAGACGAAAGAGCTCAAATATTATGAGGGCATTACGCAACAGGTCCTGGCGAAGAAAGACAAATTGGCATATATCGTAAATGCACTCAAAATGGGGGAAAAGGCAGGGATGGAGGGAGGGGATAAGACATGGAGCATGACAGACTATTAATGTCCGTGGAAAGAAGGGGAGGGGCTAGAAGGGCACAGAAAAAAGGGGGTGGGGTGGGGTGGGGAGGGATACATGATCGTCGGGATATTATTAAGATGGATGCGACGGAGGTACGGGACCGTCGGGCCTGTCGATACAGAAACGGAAATCTGGAAGATCGTAGCAATCAACCGTGTAGCGTATCCAAGGAGGAGACCAGGAGAGGTAGGAGACGGACAGATTATTAATTATTGTGGACAGGGACGGGGGTGTCAGCCACGCGGGGCAATGACAGTGACGAGGTCAAAAGGTCAGTGGAGTGAGAGCCCAATCTTTGTGCTGAAGTTTTCATAACGAGCCAAAATAAAAACACCCAGATATCGCCGAGAATAGAACAAAACTAAAGTAACACGGTAAAGAGGTAGAGGGTACAGACTACACTGGAGCACCAACATAAAGTCGTATGTACAAACGGCATCAAATGGTCGACAGTGCCATAACCTGGATACCATAGAATGAAAACAAAAGCCAGATTTGGAGTTTTTTGTTTATGTTTACGATACTTGCAACACAATTCGTTCATGTAAGCGACAAAGATTAGAGGTATTAAAAGGGAGTAACAAAAACAAAAAGGAGGAGAACTGAAGACGATGGATCTCGAGTCTGAAGTTTGGCTAAAACAGTAGACAGACTGCTGTTGCCTTTAGAAAACGATTGTTCGTGCTGCTGTTCTCTGTCCCACTGAACACAAGATAAGCCAATTTGATGGCTGGCTACCTGGTCCATGTCAGGACACTGGGCCGGCAGATAAACGTTCTAATGACAAGAAAAAACTACCAGGACCCTATTCCGATTTGAAACTCGGAACTTTCGCAGGGCAGACCAAGGCCACAACCAGCGTCGCTGAACATTAGAGAGCATTTATAGCTGGAACTGGTATCGAAGTATAAAAAACGTTAAAGATAGGTATTTTCAGCGGACAAAAAAAAACATAGCAAGAAAAAAAAGAGAAGGGGGAGACAGACAGGATGTAAGAGACAATGTCATAACATGGGCACGAACCGACCAACTAGAACAAAAAGACACAATGGTTTTTTTTTAAATTGCCTTTTTGTTTGTTAAAGGGACACATCCGTCCTGGCAGGAGTGATCTAAGATGTTCAAAT